TCTGATTTCCTATTGGAATGGCTAAGGAAAGTTGAGGTTGGGGGAAGGGAGTGTGGTTGGCTAGCTGGGTTAGTTTTGTTGAGAGGTTTTATTGGAGACAGGAGGGGGACAGATTGGGGGATGGTTCTGACTGAGTTTGGGTTTTTTTACAGATTATCAAAGCAGTGCTAGAAATAAGCCAAATCCAAGAACCTTTCTCAAAGGAGAGCCTTCATCCTTGTCCTCAGTACAAACTAGTGCATTTCTGAAGCTTTTGCTTGCTTGCTTGCTTGCCACAAGTGGGTTTATTGTACACTTAAAGCTAAAGCCCTTTGACGATTTTTTTTTTCCTTCCTTAGGTTTAATTCTCAGGTGTCTCTAGCAGAGATGTGAAATATGGACAAACTTTCTAAAGCCAAGTGCTATGGAAAAGCAGAGCACAGAGGCTGGATTCCCCTGTCATGCACAGAACTGAGCCTTCCAGGTCAGGGTAGATTGTGGTTTTGCCACCATCTGTTGTGCCTGGGGATGCCAACACAATACTTGTCAAGACAAGTAACCTTATACAGTTTGCTGTAAAAGAAAACACTATGTGGATTTTGGTTTTGGTCACCAGCAACTTCTACTCTTACGTGAATTTGTATGTGCTTCCATAAGGCCAATTTTAAGAACAAATTATATGGCAGGAGAACGCATAACACATGTAAAAAATTATCTAGGCTTTTGGCTCTGAAATCTGTATTTGGGAGCTCACTGGTTTTTCAAGTTCTGACCCAGCAATATGCAGGTAACTTTGATAATCTTTTCTTTAAAGAGTGCCTAAAGCACTCCTAATAACCTCAGCACTGTAGGAAACTTACTCAGTAGATTGTCTTGTGTGTTTAGCAGCTGCTGGTAATTTTATTCGCCATGTATTTAGAGCAGATTCCAGTTAGCATATGAGTAACATCATGTCAGTCCTAGTTCTTTCGTTCTGACATCTCTTTTGGCTCCCAGTGCGATTTGGCCCTGTTTTCCAAAATGTTGATCCTGAGTCCAAATGTAACGTTGTGGGTGGTACATATGTCAAGCCCTAGTTCAGTATTTTTGGACAGCAGTAGCATTTCATAATTCTTTTGAAATGAAAAGGAGAAATGAAGTTAACTGAAAAAAAAAATGTGGCTAGATCCAGCTGGGCACAAGCTCGCCGTTTCTACTCCTCCCTCAGTCCCCTTGATTTTCCATTTGGAAAAATAGAGGTTTACGTGGCAGAAGCACTTGACAGTATTTAGGCTCATTCAGACGAGCAAGCAATAGCATAGCCTTTTCTTTATAACCTGTCTTGTCACGGCATGGTGGCCACTGAGACCTCCTGAGATGAAGATGGGGAGGGTGGAGGGTTGCAACCCTGTGTTTGTGTTTTTTAAAACAGCGAGCTAGGCTGAATTATGTAGATGGCTAAGTAAGGCCATGCTGGCACTAGAAAAGCCAAACAATCCCCTCAGGTTTTCTGTATGTCTGCGTTTGATATACCTACTGCTGTACTATATCTTTATATACAGCGCACTCTAAACAGCACACGAAGATATAAATGTGATTTTATTACAGAAAATCAAGTGAAATAGTCCAGAAGGTTGTAGCCTGTGTGAAATAAACACACGTATGCAGTACAGGAGGTTTCACAGGGCATAAATCAAAACGAACTTCATAGCTTCCTTCCTTCCTTCTCCCCAGTGCAGTTGCAGAGCTGCTAGCTGAAAAGCTGTCCTTCATCCTTCTCTTGCAGCAAACCACATGCTCATATATTATTAATTCTGTTTTGCTAGTACTGCAGGACATAGGTACCTTTCTAGAGTGTCTCAGGTTGCTTTTCAGAGTGCCTGTGCCAGCTCCACTGCTGTGGTTGCAGTTCTGTGCATTGTTTTTGAAGTGCTGGTAGTTTTTCAGGCAATAACAGCGTCAACAGAATAAGCGTGCTTGAGATGAGTCTTGACACCCAGGTTCTGAGCCCAAGAGACAATTTGCTGTGAGTAAACATAAACAAATCACAGTAGCCCTCTGGGCCTTCCTCACTCAGTTGGATAGCTTCAGGAGGTCATGGGCTAGCTAGCTGCCCTTCCTAATCTGCTGATGAAACAAGTTTGCTTCAGCCCTTGCAACACAGCCTCTTCCAGCATCCTTACACCACTGTGTCACAGTTGAAGGCCCTAGAGACAGTGGTCCTTATGGGTAAAGATGCTGTACTTGGCAATGGGGACCATTCTTTCAAGGACACCAGCCTAACTGATGCCTTTTTCACCCTTTTTTTTCCCTACCTTTTTTATCTTCTTCCTAGAGCACAGTGTGATGTGTTATGCAGAATATAAGGAAGGAGGGGAGAGAGGGAAGAGCCAACTTTTGGCTCTTACAGGACAGTGTAAAGTAAGGGATTTGGTCTTAGGTATTTGTAGTTAGCTTGCAGGTAACATAGTTTGTGGTTTTCCTTTAAAAAAGAGGTTGCAAATAAGTCACATCAATTTAGTCTTGTCTGCTGTTTGCAACAAATGTTACAACTTGAAAATCCAGTAGGAATGGTTGGCTAGTCAGGCTTATGGTTTGAATAGTCATTCGACTGATGCCCGACATGCTCAGCTGATACTCTTTTTCTTGGTGCCAGAGTACAACTGTCTTTATGCAAGGAATAGGAGGGTTTGGACTCATCCTCGAGGACATCTCTCGAGAAGAGAAGGCTGTGTGGAGACCTCATAGCAACCTTCCAGTATCTGAAGGGGGCCTATAGGGATGCTGGGGAGGGACTCTTCGTTAGGGACTGTAGCGATAGGACAAGGGGTAACGGGTTAAAACTTAAACAGAGGAAGTTTAGATTGGATATAAGGAGGAAATTCCCTCCTGTTAGGGTGGTGAGGCACTGGAATGGGTTGCCCAGGGAAGTTGTGAATGCTCCATCCCTAGAAGTGTTCAAGACCAGGTTGGATGAAGCCTTGGGTGAGATGGTTTAGTGTGAGGTGTCCCTGCCCATGGCAGGGGGGTTGGAACTAGATGATCTAAAGGTCCTTTCCAACCCTAACCATTCTATGATTCTGTGATTCTGTGACATTTTGCCTTGGATCCCAGCACTGTAGCTCCAGCTGGAAGCTCTGGGACATGTTCATGAGCAGTCAATTGAGAATGGTAAAATTCTTCCTCCACATTCAAACCAGGATATCCAAGTTGGTGATTGAGGCAGAGATGTTAACTATTCCCTGTTGGAAATATGGAACAAGAGCTAAGTCCATGACTGACTCATCCCTCTCAACAAAATGCTATTTCAGGATTTAAACATCAGGGAAGTATTATCATGCTGGCTACTTGTAGTGATTTATGCCTTTTTGTTTTGTTTAAGAGCTAATCCATTTGTCCTCCACAGTACAAAATGCCATTCAGATGCTGTCCTGCTGAACCCAGGACAGATGCCTTCACTATATTGTCTCTTACAGAGATGCCCAAGCCCCAAGATACTCTTGCCCACGTGGTCTCCCAGGAGTCACCCACTGTGTTTAGCAATGCTCACCTGGTTCCGTTTTGGGATTTCACATGTAGTAATGTTTTGTAGTACAGGAGCAGGGTCCTCCACTACTGTTTTTTTGCTATGTATTTTGGTTGCTTTTCCTTTTTTATTTTCTCTTCCCCTCCCCTCCAATCTTAATATCTGCCCTACCAGTGGTTACTGGGAAATGTAAATGTGGGCCTTAAATGTCTATTCCACTCTCTTGGAAGTCTGAGGCTTGCCTGGGCGGTGCAGCATGTATAGCTGTGTAATATAGCACCGGTTATTGATCCCAGGCCTATGCCATATTTTGGTGAAGCAGGGGGCAGTTCAATTACAATATAGGATTTCACCCTTAATTTTTAATTTCCTGCTGGTTTGTGTCACAGCCTTAATATTGCTTAAACCTGATCAAATGTGACTCCCCGGAGCTCAGGCTGCCAGCCCAGCTGGAGTGTTGCGCTGCAGCAAGGGTTGGTGGTGGCTGGCAGGCGACCTGCTGAAGAGCCTTCCCTTCTCTTGCTTGTCCTTCCACTTTGGAGGGGTGCACTGATTTATGCACTCAGGGGATGATCTTGGTATCACATCAAGGGCTTTGGGCAGGGGTGGGCCAGACTACGTGCAGGGAAAGGCTGGGAGGGACAATTTTGTGGTATGAAGAGGAAGCATGTCCCTCTGGTGTGACGTAGTTTAACCAGAGAGGCTCCCCAGAACCCTTGGCTCAAGCATATGTTGTATAAAGCACAGGACCCTACAGCCATCTATTTTATTTATTTATTTAATCTCACTGGCAAAAACGCTCACCTTCTCACCTCATCAGTGTCAACAGCTGGACGTGTAACAGGTAGAATACACAGGCATGCAGTAAACAGAAGCAGAGTATGAGCATTTATTTCTCTTGTCTCTTGGCCATGGAAAAGCTGTTGTGAAACCTGAAATCTCTGACAGCCTTGACTGTTGCAGACAAGGTCAGATGAGCACTAAATGTCCTAAGACTCTCTGGCACATGAAGCTTGAGTGAAGGTGAGAAAAGGATTGGAGAGCTGTTTCATGCTTTGACTGGGTCCACGTTGTCTCATTGCATACCGTTCCATGTCAACAGTGTCAATCTGGTCATTGGTTAGTTTCGTAGTGGGTTTGGGGTTTTTCTGGTTTCTTGGTTGGTTGGTTTGGGGCTTTTTTCCTGACACTGTATTACAGTATAGCTTGTGCCATAGCCAATGATATCTTACCTGATTAGGGTGTTTTTCAAGTCCATCTCTTTTTCCTTGCAAGCAAGAGATTGACATGTTAGATATTTCCTTGTGTTCATTTTTCCTTTTAGTGAAATGGATAATTCTTTAGGGAAAATCTTTCCACAGAAAAATAAATTTCCATTTTGGTTTAAAGACAGAGCAGAGTCCCTAGGAAAAGTAATGATTTTTATTTTTCTGTTAAATCACAGCCGCTTGTTTCAGGGCACTGGGTGACTAATTGAGTGCAAGCGTTATAAATTTTGTTTGTCCTCCCCCCACAGGGCATACAAAACCATTGAGGAGGATGACTTGAAGTTTCCCCTTATATATGGAGAAGGCAAGAAGGTGGGCACATTTGCTTTCCTCACACCAAAGAAGAAGGAATTCTGTGCTGTTTACCACTCAGTTTAGCCTGTGGCAGTACAGTGTTTTCCACTCAGTATCTCTTTATTTTATCGTTTTGACAGCTTGAAAGAATATCTTGGTTCTGTCATAAATCAGTCTTGTGTCTGGGGGGTGGCAGGGAGAGCTCAACATACTAAAAAGCATTTTTATGGCAAACATAGTCATTTGCTGTTCAGTTTGCTTTTGTTTTTCTTTCATTGTAAGTAGGCTACAATGAGACAGTCTTAAATAATTTACTTAAAATGTTCCTGGTTTCATTGTAAAATAGAACTCGTAAGGATGAAGATAGTAAAATACCTCACGTTACTGAAAACAAAGCAGGAGGATATTTAGTAGCGCTCTGAGATGCAAAACTAATTTAGGAAGGGAAGGGATGAGGGCAGGATTTGGAAAGTATAACACCCCTTAACCATATCTTCTTCAGCTAGGGTACATGAACTCAATGTTGAATGTTTCTCATGTGTGAATGCTGATAGCTTTTCCTGAAAGGGAGAAACAAACCATTCTGTTTGGATGTACTTTGTTACAGCTCTGTGATTAAGAACAGTGAGATCATTAGAGCTGATCCCAGCAAGCTTAGCTGGATGCAGCAATAGGATCAATACAAGGACGCAGTGGTGTCAGCTTGCCGATATTGGTATGCTTGCTGTGTTTCTAAATAGTGCTCCCCTGCTGCATTAGTTTCTTATCTCAATGCAAAAATACACACTCTTCAAAATTAGTCCAAGTTTTGAAGGTTCAGACCTGCAGCTTATCTCTGGATTTGCTTAGGTTTATAATTATTTGCAAAATGTTTCATGCACATCTTTTTAATTTACTTTCTTATTGCTTTATGGAGCCAGGGGTTAGTGAGGCAAAATAATTTTGAGTCAGTTGCTTGCTGTTATTGATGCTTTGAGCTCTCTTGTTCAGAAGCTGCTGCAGCTAAACTAGAATTTGGGGGAAGTGATACACACAGAGCAGAGAGTGAGGTTCCCCATGAGGCTGCCTGCCTGCTCAATCTTTGTAGAAGTGTTAATGAAGAAGAGCCCAGCATCTCTTGGGAGACAGCTTATGCTGCAGAGGAAGGTGCTTAGGGAAGGAAGTGGTAGACCTAAGGTAAAAGCAGACCTGCCCTAGACTGGCTCTCCACATAGTAGAGCACTGTGGTCAGTGCCATTGTCACCTGTTTGTTTAGGAATTTAAGGTGGGCTTTGGCACTTTTCCTTGGTGGGGGAAGTACACAGCAGTATGTCAGTAGGAAGAGGCCACATGTTTCTTCAGTGAGTAATTAGGCTCCTCATCCTTTTTATAAAACCTGTTGACTAACATTATAATTTGCTGAAGGAATGTTCTCGTAGACAGATAGTGAGGGGGATAGTGAGACGTCTGGGATAGGTTTCCACAGTTGCAGTCCATTATACACGGTCATGGTCTAAGATGGGTGTACACAGGCTGGGATGTGAATGAATACAGAACTTCGAATAATAAGGGAGATGGAGATGACATGAGCATGAACAGTGTTGATTAGCTGTGTTAAATCTAGAGTTTCTGGAAGAGCAAAGGGAATTAATTCCCAACTGTATCAGTTATGGAGTAGGAACGTTATCTCTTTCCTTATTGATAGACTAGATATTGATGCATGTAACAAGATTTAATCCCATTGCTTTTCTTTATTTCCAGGCTCGGGTTATGGCAACAATTGGAGTGACCCGAGGACTGGGAGACCATGACCTGAAAGTCCATGACTCCAATATATATATCAAACCTTTCTTGTCCTCGTCTCCTGAGGTAAAGCAGCCAAGGTTCAACTATCTGATTTGTGAGAGAGAAACAAATATACTTAGTATGCTTACTTGTTCTTCCCAAATTGTCCATTCTGATTGTGGTACAATCCAGGTAACATGCTGCCCTTCCCCAGGGTGCAGCGTGTTAGTAACATCCACACAGTAAGAACATTGTAAGCTCCACAGCTGTGTGCCCTGGCTCTTGTTGCTCCTGGCAGAGCATTGATGCCTTCTCGCTGCCTGGTCTATGGTTATCCCATGGCCTTGCAAGTCAGCATGACAGACACCCATTTCTCCCCACCTTCGTGTGCTCCAGCTCCCCTTGAGGCCTGGATCATGCTGTTTTCACACAAGCTTATGTAAATCTGTGTTCTCCATCAGGGAACACTGGATATCTTCCACAGTAGTGTAGTATCCTGCATTACACAGAGGATACCCGAACAACTCTTGAGCAGGAAAATGCCAAGAGTAATTGAAAGAGGACTTTCTGCTTCCATTTGTCTGCCCCTTCACCGTCAGTTTTTAGTTCTTTATGGTGGTTTTATGCAAACACCAAATAATGACAGAAATAGCAGTGCGCATTCCCAGATGATGGCATAATGAGGGGATTATGCAGTATTTGTGTTAGGTGTAGTTTTAAATGCCTCCATCATTTTTACTTGCCTTGCCACAAACAATTCCAGTGTTTGACCACCAGAGACCTTGCAGTGAAGGATATCAAGCCTTCCAAAGGGATTTGAATGTATTTGTTAACAAGAAACTTGCAAACCTCGCTTTTTTTCCCCTCTCTAACTGCATTCCTGTCCCTACGTCAAGGAATAGATGACACATATTTTTCATAAAATATTAAGCAAGGGCAAACCATCTGATGACAGCACAAAAAGGAGGAGGCTTTGCTGAGAGCTGAGAGCTATCCACTGTCAACTAGCTTGCTGGAGTTTTAACCATACCCGGTATTTGACCTGGAATTTATTGCTTGCTATAGAAGTGCAAGAGAATGAAAATACACAAATGATAACATACTGCTAGGAAGGAACAAAATTATTACATTGACCTTGCTTAGAATATTTTTGAGACTTTCAAAATACGAATTTAAAAAATGCTGAGAGATTCTGGCCCTGAAGAGAAGTGGGAGATCTACTGACAGCTCCTTCTTCATGTTTCCTTGCTGTCAATGCAGTACCTTCCCTCTCCCCCTTTGAATGTGTGGTATCCTTCATTTGAGACCTGCTCCTGTTCTCTGCAGCCAGGCAAGCAGCAGCTCTGCCCTCATCAGTGTTGATGGATTTGTTTAGTGCCAGCAAAATGATGCAATTCTACCTATTTATTTTTCTTTCTGGTGTGCTGAGACCCAGTGTTTCTGGGGTATGTAATGGCTGCAGCACAGTATCTCAGCAGTATCATCTCTGCCAATTGCTGCTGCAGTATTTGTCTGTGTGTATAAACCAAAACTTCTCATGGGCTTTTCTGATTTGTATGGAATGTGCCTGTACGTGTTCAAATTCTGGAATATGACATCCAGTTCATATGCTATCCACGTTTCAGGATCTCTTAACTGCTTTGCAAAAGGGAAGCAAAATTGGCTTTGTTTCCACATTCCCTTCACAGCTAAATTCAGCAGAAACGTACAAGGGCAGGAGGAGGAAAGACAGAGCACCAGCCACCTCAATTTCGAGATACTGGCAAAAAAAACCCTGAATTTTATTAGGAAGTAACGTATGCTCCAACTTGCTTTCCACTGCACCTCCTTCTCCTAACCATCTCTTCCTTCTCCTCCCAGAGAGAACCCCAGTGCTTCGTCTCCTCATGCTTTTCCCTGACTTGTTCTGTCCCTAGACAGTGCACCTTGCACAGAAACTGACATTAAGAAAGTGCCTTTGTGCTGCCATCTGGGAAGCTTGGCACTTGGAAGTAAAGGCAGTGGCATCAAGCAGCAGTCATATTTGGCCCTCGTGCAGCATTGGATTTCAAATTGTTTATATAGAGGTAGGGAAGCACAATATGTGGTTTCCAGACCTGGAAAAGGGGAAGCACAGGAAATTAAGGCGCACAGTGAGTCGTGACAGAGGGAGGATCCAAGTCCTATGGCTTCTTTTTCTGTGCTGTCCTCTCCCAAGTTCAGGGCAACTTGGCGAGTTTTCAGAACGTTTACTTCCAGCATGACGGAGCTCTGGTATGCCATGTCCACCAAAATTTAGTAAGCAACCCTGAGACTACATCCAGAAACAGGCATTATAGAAGTGATTTGAGGGGAGTGTGAAATGATGCTTTGATAGAGCGCCAGGCTACGGGAGGAGAAGTCATGTAGCCAAGACTGACAAATGTAATCAGGATTCAGTGGCTCAGCTGTTAGGAGACCAGATTTGAAGGACTTCTGCAGGTTGGTGAGCTCTAGAGAATTGAGCCTTTTGTAATGAACTGGACTAGCACAAAGCAGGCAAGCCATGGCTGAGGCTCTCTGGCATGGAATTAAATATTTATTTTTCATAATGGAGCAGTTCATTTGAAAGCTTTCAGAAGGAAATTCTGCTTTTTTCGAGCTCAGCATGAGCCACCTTGTTGCAGCTGAAAAGCAGAATTTCATCCTGAAATTTTTCAAAGGGTAGCTCAGCCATTTGATGGAGTGAGGTATGGCTCTGACAGCAGCATTTGGCCCTTGCCAGTGAGGAACCCTAAGCCAACCACCATAGCAAATGATAAGAAGGTAATGAAGGAGAATTTTTCCCATTCCGTTATGTTAGTAAAACCTTTGTGACAACTCCACAAACATGTCAAAGGAGAAGGTTTCAGATTCACATCTGCCTTCTGGAGAAATCTTTAGGAATTACACCATCGAAAGGAACAGGCAAGGCAAATAGCTAAGAACTACAGTATGATCAAAGGGAGTCAAGGTGGTTTCAAGAAGTAAACATCACACTTTAGTGGCTTGAAGTCCTTCAGGGTTATGTCTACCATTGAATGAAAAAAAAAAAAATCATAATAAATGCAGTAGATGGTCGTGCATGAGCACTTTGATTTCTCAGAAAACATTTGAGAAACTGTTCTGCATCACAGGTTATTAATATAAAAGATATGAAGCTGCAGACTAAGTGGAAAGTTGGCACAGTCTCTTGGAAATTGGCTAAAGGGCAGGAAACAAAGGGTGGCAGTAAAAAAGCTAAAAGGAGATTAATTGGTGAGTGCTGCAGGGAGCAGTGTTGGGACCCGCTTTTTATTATTTACATATAAATTACTTGGAGGGTGGTATTGAAAGATCTCATCGTTTGCCAGCGAGGCCGTGCTGGATAACATTGCGCATAAAAAGGGACGATACAATTAAGAAAGGGCTTAATTTATTGAAGTCGCCGAGCTGATCAATAGTGCAGGCGAGTGAATGCGGGCTGTTGTTTGGCTCGAATTCCCCCGGGGCTGGCTGCTGAGGAGCACACCTCAGGTGGCTGCAGGCTCGTGTGTCACTCTGCTGTGAACGGTTTTTGAGCCGCAGGGACTGGCGTTGGCTGCCTCTTCAAAACAAACCTGGCAAACAAGCTCCAGCGCCTTCGCAGAGCTTCTGTGGTCCCTTTAGCATCCAAACACAGGGTTTGGCCAGTGAGTAGATCTGTTTGAAATGTAAATATAAAAGCAGCCCACCTGTTTGTTTGTTGCTCGCTCAGAGCGTTTTTCTCAGTGCTCTTGACTGTGTGGAAGTGAGCAATATGAGAAACAAATACCGGGATTGAAGAGATGCGTTATGTGACAAACTGCATAACGCGTGTTCAGAAAGATGTGTGTGACCATGAGCTCTAGCGGTGTGTATCTGCTCATAGCTATCAGCAGAGATCTGTAAGTACCGGTCAGGATAAAATACAGTGTAACCCAGTGCTTATTGTCATGGATGTTTGTGCTACTGAGGTTCTGGTGCTTCTTCCTTACAGTTTCTTTACATTTTCTGGTTACTAAAGTCAAGTTGAGCTTACTTAACAGGTCCGCTGCTTTATATCAATGAAGACATCAGTGGATGGTAAAAGCACGGTGACCAAACTGGGTTCCTTTAAGGCCTGCGCCAGTGATCCAGAGAGATGTTGAAGAGTGAGAAAGTCAGCCAGGGCGGTACAGAAGGGGCTGGTAGGCTGGGGGGAATTGCAGACCAGGCTTTGGAGACAGCATGCGAGGCAGAGGAGAGAGCAGAAGTAGCCCAAACATTTTGGGCAGAGGTCACAAGTTCTGTGGGGCGCTGCCAGGACTGACAGAAGGAGCACTGTCTGGCTGCAGAAGGAACAAGTTATAAGGGGAAGGCTGTAGATTCAGGATGGAATTGCTAGGAAATCTGTCTAGCATGCAGCACCAGTTAAGGAAACCTGTACTGCCAGCCAGTGTCTGGTCAACCATCATCTGCACTAGCAGGCCTATGCAGTACTGTTTTGCAGTGTGTACAGCTTTGTGCAAACTTATGTTACAGACAGAATGGCATTTAAACCTCCCTGTTGTTTAGTGTCCTGAAATACAGGCATGAAAGGAGGCCTTTTCTGTACAGCATCTGTGGAGAATGCTGTGGTATCGCACAAGGTGGGGATGTGTGGAGTGGATGCTCAGTGAGCCTTGCTGGTCTAAGCATCTGTTACACATGCCTTGGTGGTGCTGCCCAGCCTGTGTGCCCCTGCTGTCACACTGCTCCGTGTCCAGCACATATCGCTAACTGCAAGAGACCCTCATTGACCCAACTAAGAGCTAGAACAAAGCTGCTAGCAGAAAAAGTGAAGGGTTAGGAGCTGGCTTGTGTCTGCCTGGGCAAGGTGCTCTGTGTGCATAACCTGAACAATAGACTGGGCAGCTCTAAATTAACTCGTCAGCCACATACGGAGGGCACCTACGACTGTATTCTAGACATCTGAGTAAAGATAGAAAGAAAAAGCTGTTATTATGTGGACGTGGCTGCCCTAATGTGTTGCTGCTGTGGTAACTGGAAGGCAGAAAACATTCGGTTGTATATCCAACTGGTCCTTGTATACAAGAATCTTACCTGAAGTTGTCCCTGACTTGCCTCCTGCAACCTTGGCCCTCTCTTTTCCTTAGTCTGGGAACCAGCCTAGCATTGCTTATTGGTTACCCCACTGCCCTTCTCTGCACCTCTTCTGATGTTTTGTTCCTTCAAATGGCACCCCTTTCTGGAGGTGCTTACAAAGCTTTTGCTCTTAGGACATAATTACCTTGTTCCCAGATTATCCATAAAATCAGTGGTTGCATTTTCTTTTTCCTTTTCCCCCAAAACTAAACACGATCTTGGTAAAATGACCTGTCCTTGGTCTTGCTGTAGCATTTTGACATGTGGGTTGGCTGCAGGTAACTTTGACAAGTTTCTTATCTGCCCGAGTAGCATTTCCCAGTCAGAAAAGATTGTTCATTTCAGGAGGTTTCAAAACAGTGATGCATGGTCTTGGTTTCCTGCCTTCTCCCCCACCAATGCTGCAAAAAAGGCTCTTGTGTAAAGTGTACTTTGCCTGGGTGGGAAAGCTGTGGTAGATGTGTTTTTCCTAGCGCTGACATTCCAAGCTTGGTCATCCCTAGTAGGGGCTTGCTGCTGAGTGCATCCCTGAGCATTAACCCCAATGCTCTGTCAAATATTTGCCTGTACCCAAGAGATCTGACCAGAACATGTCCTGCTTATTGATGGCTGTGTCGGCCAACTTAGCCTTCGCAGTGATTTCCAGTAGCTGTCAGAGTCCTCGTCTCCCAGAATTTAGTTAAATTTAACTGGGAGATGAGGACTCTGACAGCTACTGGTTTCTGTGCAGTGGGCTTGAGATGGGGGCTGTGCTGCATATAGGCATTTTTGCTGTAACAGTGTTCCCACTCAGTCTGAATAAGGACATACACTTTAATGAAGAGAGTATCTTGCCTTGACTTTAATCCTCTCCAAAGTCCTTATTCATCTGCTACCTTAGATAATGAAGTGAAGGTTACATTTTACAAATGACCTTCTTGTGCTTTTGAGTAAAAGGCGAACAAGTAAGGATTAGCAGTCAGGTCTAGGTGATTTTTTTTTTCCTCTGGTACTGGTTGCAGCCCCATAAAATCATAATTACATTAAAAGGTCCAGGCATTTTATGTGCGTTCCCTGCTCCATGGCTCCTAAGGGAAAATGCACCATGAGGGAGAATAAAACAGCTCATATTTTCTATTTATGCCAAGTGCTTGTCCTGACAAATCTCCCAACTGCTGCTGCTGTTAGTGGAGCCCGAGGCTGGAGCAGGGTCCGTGACGAGGTGCACCATTTCCAAACTTCAGTACAGATGATTGTTTCCTCCTGTCTGCCTTGCCAAGGTTGTCACACTTCTTCTTTCAGACTGTGGTCGTTGCTGTGGTAATTGAAGTGCTTGGTGAGTGCTTTGTAACAGCTCCCCATCGCAAGCTGGGAATTGCAGGCAGTTTGTCAGCTGGAGTACAGCGTGTGCTGCAAGAAGTTACACTGAACTAAAGGCTCAGTGCTCATTTAAAACGCCATGGCCTTTGCTCATATTCTGTTTCAGCTGACGGCCTCCCAGCATCCCTGTGTCTGCCCCTCCACTCCCGGCTTTCCCCAGCCTCATCGGGAAGAGGACAGTGGAAGTTGTGCCAGAGTGAGGGAGTTACAGAGATAACAGCAGCACCTTACTGGCTGCAGACCAATAAGGTGAAGCCAGTGGGCACTTTAACAGTGTGAATAAGCTCAGGGGGTCACTTGTGTGCAGATCTTGAATCAGCCTTCTGATTCAGACTCCTCACAGATACACGTAACTGAGCAATTTCTCTCCATTTCATGGAACTGCTCACTTGCTCGGGCGTAATCCTTGAGTGCAGCAGCTGCCTCAGGTCTAGAAAAGTAAACGCGATGCCGTCTGCCACACAGGCATTTCCAAACATGCAATTTATCTGACAGAGGTAAATGGGTCTGGACAAATAGTGAAAACAATTATTTGTGAATATTTTATTAGAAAGTATCAAAAATTCATCAAATAAATTATTCAGCTTCCATATGACTAGCCCTGCCAATGATAGGGAAAAGCCTCACATGCTGAAACCAGGCTGCTGAGTGGGGGAGGCTTCAAGTGCCGCTGGCAACAGGCAGCATGGTGCTTTGCAGCCTAGCTTAGGAACACTTGCATCCATCCCAGCTGGGTCAGCACCGGAGCCAAGGCAGGAGGGGTTGCTGTCTCAAGGTCTAAACTGGGGACAGCCCCCAGCAGTACTGTGGGAGAGGTATTTCAGTGCCCTGACTGAACCTGGTAACTCACAACCAAACTCAGCAGTGTTTTACAAACAGGTCTGACAGACTCCTCCTTCACAGTTGTCTCTTGGGTTTTTTCGTTTTAGGTGAGAGTCTATGACCTTGTGCAGTATGAGCATGGGCCAGATGATGTTCTGATCCTAGCTACTGATGGACTCTGGGATGTGCTGTTAAATGAAGAAGTGGCAGAAGCTGTCACTAACTTTCTACCAAACTGTGACCCTGATGATCCCCACAGGTTCGTGCTCATCTCTGATTTTCTGTCTATGCTGCAAGAAGAGTGCTTTCTGGTAACGTATTTTTGTAGAAAGTATGATAAAGTCCTTTCCAACCCTAACTATTCTATGATTCTATATGAGTAGCAGTCAGTAAACGTGCAACACTTAACAAAAAGACATTTGCTGGATGGAGCCCCTACAGCAAATGTGGGGGTTTGGGGGGGGGAGTGTTCTGTTAGAACTCAGAGTTGACAGCTTTCAAAGGAGTACTTGTGGGATCACAATATCTTGGCATGGGATCCATTTTCTTTGCTATACAAGGCTCTGTGGAAACCGTCAAGGCTGCAGTCTTACAAGAACAATGCAGCACATCTCTGTCTCCAGCAGTTACAGGTTTCTGCTTAACTCTTCCCTGGATAGTCCCTTAACACTAAAGATTATAGATCATGGGCATCTCTCTCTCTCACACTGTATATATATGTGTGTATGTATAAATACTACATGGACCACTCATTCCTGGTCATGCTGCAGCCTTTAAATCCCCCTTCAGTAGGATTTAAATCCACTTCAGTGCAACCAGCTGAGGACAGGTGTGGTGACAAGATAGATGGAAAGTCTGACTCTGTTTTATTTAGTTGGATTCTGTTTCATTTCACAATTTTGACTTACCTCGTCCCCTTTATTTTCCTGTCTTTACCACCTCTTACTTGATCAGTTTCTGTCTTTAAAGCATGCCATCAAGCAAACAAACAGGTTTCCAAACAACTGGCTACAGCACTGTCTGCCTTGAGGGAGTCTATCTGCTGCTGAGTTCAGTGTCGCCATGAATTAAAACATTATGCTAGAGATCAGAAGTCTCTCACTTGTAAAAGAGAGGACTCTGAAAGTGGAAAGAGCTTTATCCTTCCCTAGGGACTGTTCAGGAAGAGAAGTGTGTGTTGCTGCTGAATTCAAGCCTGGCCATCGTTGTCTTCTGCTCTCGCTCTGGGTTAAGAGTAGGGAAAAGAGCTCTAATGCATCCCCAGTTGGCCTGCATGAAATGGAGTTTCAGAAAGAAGCTCTGTGATATCTCTGCAGCCCAGTGAAAACACACAGAGTGGTGTGAGAGCTCAAGCTACAGTTGTTTAGATGTGGCAACTCATGAGAACATGGGAAAACCCATCTCAAAATGCTTGGTGTTTCTCATATTTCTAAGTGGTCATCTTCACAGACTCAGCCCTGTTCTCCATCAACAAACAAGATAACTGGGTATGGACATCCTGACAGCCACTTGGGTTTTAAAGTGACAACAGCTCCAGAGTAACTCACAAGCAGTATTTTCTTGCCCTGGCACTTTGAAATGCAAAAGACGTTTTGCTGCAAGCTCTCAATTGTCAAGAGAATGGATGATTAGTATGAAGCTGCAACTCTAGCTTCCCTACCTCCCTGCACTGTAGAATCATAGAATAGTTAGGTTGGAAAGGACCTCGAGATTATCCAGTTCTAACCCCCCTGCCATGGGCAAAGAGAAGAGGTGGTATGAATGACAGCCAGGGCTGTGTCTGCTTCAGGAAGACGTGGAAGTGTCTCTGCCCTCTCTCTGGGAGGAGATCAGGCAGGATTAGTGGGCCTCACTTACCAAGGCATCTGGCACTGTGCTATGCAGATGTGCCATTAATTTAAGGTAGGAGTAGGTGACCTACCCAGTGTACTTCTGGCTATGCCCTAGCACTGTTCAGAGGGTAGCAGGGAGCTTTTGCTCTCATCTCTGCACCCCTGAATCTCCTCTTGCAAAGGCACCTGAGAAAATGTAATACCTCTGCCCTGCTCTGCCTCCATTCTCATCTAGTAATTGGGAAAGGCTGGCTCTTCCTACTGTCCTTGCTGCTCCTGTCTGTTGTGAAAACAGTCTGGGTAAATTGTGTCTGTCTTGTTGCTTTTGGTCGTCCCAAAGCTGGTGATAGCTACCATACCTGCTGCAGTAGGAATGGGAGTTCTTTGATCTTTTTGACTTGTTAGGTGAGTAACTTTCCATCCGTTATAAAACACTCATATAAATCAGAGACACTAAAGGAAAAAGAGATTTTTGTTGTTTCCTTTAGATTTGTTCGTTCTGATTTAGCCCCTGTAATTGTGGGAGATTAGTCCCTATTTGTGCCAGCGTGAGTATAACACACTCCAGAACTGGGTGGGCCTGCTGTAATATGAGTTAGAACAAACACATTTATTGGTGTTTGACCTGCTGCTCTATGAATGGACATCTGAATTAAAACTTAATTTGTTCTTTTAAGTAACTTTGTGCCAGGTCATTTAGAGGCTTACAAATAGTGGTGCCAAGATACTTCTCATGCCAGCTTGCAAAAGGTAATTAGAGCAGTCCCTCATATAGTTTGCAGTGATATTTATGAAAATTACCTTTGTGGAATTGCTCTTGCTGCTTGGTTGTAAAGAATATTTAAAGGGTTTAAAGTACTGTGTGAGAGGTTTTATGTAATTACTTCACAGTGGTCCAAATGAGGTATAACTAATGAATTTACAATAGCATAGTAGCTCAGACTGTGGAGCTGCATTCATTCCTCTCACTAGTCAGTGCCAGGAAAATCTTGTTTGCTGTATTATCAGTGTTATGTTTAAAGGAAATGTTATCCCAGAAACTGTCAGGTTCTGTGGCAGGTGTAGTGACATAGTCTGTGGAGAGGTGATCAGCTGAAAATGTGAAATCTCTAGGGATGTGGAAAGCTTGTCAGAATGTAAGAGACTTGCCCCCTGGGTTTGGTAATGCTGTGGTGTTCAGGAGAACCTACCTGTGAAGCAGACTCTGGATCTGCCTGACCCAGTAGCCTACTTACTCCCTGACAGCAGCATATTTGAAAAGAAGCCAAAGCTGGAGAGGAAGAATTTAGAGCTGCAGAGTACTCACCTGTTATGTAATTAGCTCTTTGTGGGAACAATAGCTCTCCTATTTGAATTAGAAGTCATTTTATAACCTGATGGGTAAGAGCTTACAGCCTTGGCCATGCTCCTGGGATTCTCTCCTGTTGCTATTTACTGTCAGAACTGCAAGTAGTTTTTACACACAGAAAAATGTCTTTGAATCTTGTCAAACATAGCATTTGCCTGGACATTTCAAAGTACGGGGAGAGGAAAATCCTGGAGTGTCTTCATCCAGCCACACAGACAGAGCCTCAGGGGATTTGGGCAGTGGATGATGGGCACAGACTTGATTAGACAACAGTTCCTCTGCAATAGCTGTGATGGAGGGAAGAAACAGGGCTGGAGCTGGATTTCTCAGTCAGCTCATCTCTTATGAGTTTTGTGGCAGACAAGAGAATGAAGGGGACCCTGTGTGAAGAGCAGGTGTAGCAACACGCTGCTGCTCTCCATACATCATCCTTCTGAATAGGTGGGAAGAATGAGAAGCATGACTTTTGCCCACTTCCTTCAGCTGCAGTTCCGTAGGTTTGCTCACTGACATTGGGAACCTCTTTCTTATCCTCCCTCCTGCTGTCCTTTCTCATCCCCTCTCACACAAGCCAGAGAGATTTATGAGGATGCTGGGGAGTTGCTCCACCTCTGCTGGGTGTGAGAAGATAAGAAGTTACTCAGACAGCAGCACGTTTCCCCCACTGTCACCATTTCTCCTGCAGTACTTTCACTGATCAATACTGAAAGCTTCAGCAGAACACACAAAAAAAAAAAGCATATATATTTATTCTTAAAACACAAAAGCTGTAACCCAGTGAGGCTGTTCATTAGGAGGAAGTTAATACTTTAAAACTACTTCAGCAGTTCTCTAATGCTGTGTCAACAGCTGAATTCCAAGTTCACAGACAGCACTGGAGAATAAAACATTCAGTAATGGGCTGCTGCTGCTATTCATCACCAGGTGCAAGAGACACTATCTCCTCTAGTGCCAAGGTGAATGGCATCACTTCAGCTTTACACAAGGAGATAAGTTACCTCGCTCCTGTCTTTACCTGTTCCTTTTCCTTGCTTGGATGTGCTGGTTTTCTTGTGTATTTCACAGACTGTCTATGAGAGAATTTCTGGTTTATTAAAATTCCCTTGTTTTTATCTTGTCCTCTCCAAACTTTAAGCAGCAAAAGCTTTACACAATCAAGAGCAATATTCATTCCTTTGTACTCTTTAGATGTGAGGAGCCCTTGTTAATTAGAAAAAGGAGGAAGGCAAAGTTTTCTCACAGAATGATGGGTGTTTTCTTCTCTTAAATTCTGACAATAGCTGAGAAATCCTTCGAAAAGATGTTCTAGCCAAAATTCACTCAGCATCAGACATGCTGTGAATAAATATTCCAGTTTCTTGCTTGCCACGTGGAGTCCTTTTGTTCCTTAGCCCTGCATCTGATTTGGGGATTTGGGAACTGGGGAGGGCAAGTATGTATGTTTGGGTTTTATTCCCCTTAGAAAATATAATTTCATGTTGCATTAGGAGAGTGCATGCAGAGCTGCTTGTCACATCCTGCTGTTAGAGCTTAAGGTCCTTGGTGCAGACTTCTCGTGGAGTATGCAGACAGTATGCATGTGGGTATGGAGGCTTGTGTGTTACAGTTTATGCCTTGGGCCCTTCTCTTATTGCTAAAAGTAAATCTTCTGTCAAAACTAGTGAGGGCTGGAAATTTTATTACTCAGTACTATTAGGAGCAGGGGGTGCATTGCTTCTGTACAACATTACTTGGATTTAACATCAGACCTCTTGAGTAGTCAAATGTTGGTCCATTTGCATTGAAGAAATCTTTCTAGCGGCACAAATAATTCTATTTCTGGTTCAAAGAAGCCATTTTAAGGCACTAAATGATAGCAGCAGAACATAATTGGGTTTTTTTTTTTCCTTTTGTTATGCCCAGAGAGTGATTGAAGTATCTACTAATAAAAACTACCATTTGATAACGCAATTTGGGGGTTAGAATAATCCTTGATCCTCAATAAACTCTTCCTCCCAGCTTCTGAGCAGTGGAGAAACTGTCCTTTCCTATTCCTCAGATGGGATCTGGGCAGATCATCTTTAGTCAAGGATCCTCTTCTAGAAGGTCTTGAAATGTGAACCTTTCTTGTCCTTTCTGATTTCTGGGAACTTCAGAGGTGTGTTTTGCCTCCGGAGGCCTACATCATCTCAGAGGTTTTACATATATAAATGCTTTAAATAAAGCACAGGCAGGCACAGCATTGAACTGTTTGGGTTTTTCTTGTCAGTTTTCTAACTGTTCAGTTAATTTTTAATTATGAAATCATAGAAAATCTCGTCTCCACCCAGCCAAAGTCCAAATGTCCCAGCCAGGTGTTGGGCTGAGAAAGAAAAACATGTGACAGTAGCTGTTCACCCGTAACCAGATCTCTTTCAGAGGAAGCTTCTTAGTACACAGATGTGTTGATCTAGGGGCAGCAGGTAAAATGATAAGGGAGAACTTGTCAGAGCACATGACAGAGCACCGTCTGTGCAGCACCTTTTGCACTCTGACACGCTTCTGCCACCAAGCAGCATCTGTTATTTTTTCAGGATAGAAAATAACTCCCATAGGTCCAGCAGTGCTCAGCCCAGCACAGGCTGGGAGTTCTGAAGCAACATGAAACTTGGTATTTCACTAAATTAAGCATGTGACAATTCACATTCACACAATTTTCATTGAACTCATAAATGTGAAAGGACTGTGGGACTCTGTTAAATCCGGCTGTATTAACTGTAAGTTTACTTTTCCAGTTTCAGAATAGCAGAGATTTAAAAATCATTCCTGTGGTCAAGGAAAATAGACAAGTTAGCCTGCTCGGTTTAAAGTGTCATTTGGGTTTTATTTTTAGTGCTCTATTACCTGCTTTCAAATGGCTTTGTTAGAGCTTGTCTCTAAAATAGCTGAGCTGTGTTTACCTTCAGGTGTGTCAGTTAACAAGGGTGTAGTTCCTAACAGCAGATAGTGTTATTTGCTGTTAGTGGGGTCCTCAGTTGTTCAGACTACTCCTAGAAAGCCAATTTATTAATGCAAATGTATTTAATATTTTTGCTGAAAACTGCTGAAGCCAGGTACCCAAATGACCCGTGATTTTTGATTGATTGGTGCCTGTCAGATACCTTTAGATTCTGATGCAGGAGCTGTTGCTGAACTGGAAGGGGTTGCCTTGTGGGCATGCTGTGGTTTGCATTTCTCCTGCCTGTTTCTAAAACCCAGGGAAACTTGTCCTGGTAGGTCACAACAGTGAATGTGGCAGGCTGTAAAAACCCACTTTCCTCACAAAGAGGAGCACTCCCTGGCTGTATTCTGCCTTCTCCACAGGTACACGCTGGCGGCGCAGGACCTGGTGATGCGAGCCAGGGGTGTGCTGAAGGACCGGGGCTGGAGGATATCCAACGACAGGCTGGGCTCTGGAGATGACATCTCTGTCTACGTCATCCCCTTAATACATGGGAACAAGCAGTCATGAAAGTAGCATCAAGAGTGGTTCTAGCATGAGGATCTTTCTGGAAAGGGCCTGTAAGAGACAATATGATTTTGGTGATCTGACCAGGACACTTCCAGTTGATGTAATCTATTCAAAACTAATGCTGGAGGGGTATTTTTCTGCCCAAAACATAGGGCTCTGCACATATACTGTATATGATAAAGATAACCCTTAAGATTACAATTTCCCTATAGAAATGGTTTTGGTGCTTAACAGGAATGGGATTTAAATGCTGCTAGCATATTATGGATTCTGTTATCCCTCCAGGTGGGGAATTTACTTTTTTTCTCAGTTTACCATGTAGCTTGGAAGAGCCATTTCGGTTGCGAAAGTAGAAGTGGGCATCAGAAGCCAAGGAGGCTCCTGAAATCTATCCCCAAATATTCAGAGGGTGACTTGGGTCACATCTCATTTAAAATACCTATATATACGTGTATGAGACTCAAGACTTTTCTTCTTTCAAAAAGTTGCATTCATGACTTAGCTATGGACAACTTCAGACTTGTGTAATCCTTTGAGCCTCCATTTTCCTCTCCTGTCTCTTCTTCAGTAGACTATACTCTATTTTAGTAGGAAAACTGAAGTTGTTTTCAGTGTGACTATGCCTGTTTACTGCAGCTAAAACAGCCACCTGCAAAACTGTCCAGGAGAAATAGGTCACAGTCCTGTATGGCAAGATTTATTCTGGTGTGAAGAGTTATTTGTCAAGGTTCCTTGTCGTGTGTATACCATGATTATACAGAGCACGTAAACTCAGCTTTATGTGATGTTTACCTGGAGGCCGTGGTTTCTTTGGGATCAGAGACTTGCATTCATTGAATGGTTCTGCCTGCTTCATCCTGTTGGAAGAATCCCTGACCATACAGCTTTTGCATCGATTGGGATTCATAAATTTATTTGGGCTCCTGAGTGTGTTTTTTAGTTGGATTCCTACTTCAGGTGGTGGTATTGTTGTCATTACCAATTTGGATTCCCAGATAGTGATCTATTTAAAAGTCATTTCATGTCTTCCTGCGTCACTTATTATTCACTATACATTTGCCTGCTTGACTTAGTGATCAGAAAACTTGTAACTTTCTGTCCTCTTGGTACTGAGGACTGTAGTCAAGGATCAAAAGATCCTTGTGATAGATACAAGCCCTTGGTTAGCTTCAGCAGCTTTTTTCCTAGCAGTGATGAATCAATTTAAAGAAAACCTGAGTAAAATATTATCAGAGTGAAAGCAATAGTCCAAGAGAGAAAAAAGAGAATAAATCTGCAGCTTAACCTGGCTGCTGTTTCTTCAAGCTAGTGCTTCATTGGCAAGAGTTGAAGAGAAAACAAAATCAGAATGTTCTATCATAGGCAGTTATATCGGCTGGGAAGCCAAGGTCAACCATGTGCCCCCAGCTTTTGGAGCTGCTCATTTAGTTTGTACTTCTTCGACAGCCAAAAGACAGGAAACTGGCATAATTGTAGGGCACTGACTAGGCAGCTCACAGATGTTGCCTCCTTTCCAAAGGAGGAGGAGGAGGATGCTGTGCCCTTTGCAGACTTTCTCCTTAACAGTCATGACCTGGAGCTCACCGGTTTTGTAACTTATAACGTGCTGTGTAGCTGCCTAGATGCTTTATTTATTTGCATCCGGAAGTACATGTGCAACAGTCTCAGTGCATTTAAACTGCCCTTACTCTAAATCTCTACACCCAGTAGGAGTTTCAGGCTGAAAGCAGGCAATGCAGAGGATGTAATGGCTCAAATGTGCAGCAAACTGCATGATTTTAGCCTGAAAACTCTTCCATGCATTCCCCAGTGCCTGCATGTGATAAAGCTATGCAGAACATGAATGTTTTGTATTCTAGAGCTTCAGCATAAATCAGTGGCATATCTGATTATGTGTTGTCACGCTTTATCTATTCTTTCCTTATTTTATTTTCCCCTTCTTTTTCTGTGTGCAGCTGGGTGAAAAGAGAGGTTTGGAGTCTAGAATATTTTCACATGGCCCCTTATGTTTTAAAGGTTAAGCAAGAGATCTTCTCTTGCACTTTTTTTGGCCTAATAAACTTGTAAACATGCTTTCCATGCTCTGTGTAACTCCTGTTGTCTCTTCACAAATGCAGTTATGTAGTCCTCTAGCAATTCAGTTGCTCTTCCACAAAGAAACTAATGCCGGCAATTCCAGCGGAGTCGTCTGAACAGCAAGGAAGCTGGTGCTTGCTGGCACCAGCTAGAAGCCCGAGTCAAATATTTCAGTGCTCACACATGGTTAGTCTTCATCATTTGGTAATATGGTTGTCAACACACACGCCAGTCATTCTAAAAGCACCGAGTACAATGTGGTGGCAATGTATTTCCAGTGTAGGGTTTGCCAGAATTTAAAAGTGAAACTTCAAGGCAATGGAAAATGCACCTTCTCGTTCAAGGGTGTTTTTAAACGTTCCTCTGGGCAGATGGGTTAGCAGAGTGCATGACTTGGTGGGAGCAAACTGGCTGGTGACTTCTCAAAGGAAAACCTCATGGGCACTGCTATGGTTTTGTGAATCAGCCTCCACTAAGTTTGCTGTTTGTTTGAGGTATTGCCATCAGTCAGCCTGCTCCTCTGCAAGTGGACCCAGGTCAAGTTATGTTAGCTTTCAGGCCTCTCCTGGAAAGGGCAGAAGTACAATTTCAGCACTTGACATCAATTAGTATCAATTAGTAATTTCTGAGAACTTGATAATAAAAGTTTCCTACTCAGATGTATGTGACTGAAACTCTGCTGTGATGCTTTTTGTTTTGCTTTTTTATAAGGTATCTGTTACACGTTTACATGCTTTCCTCATTAGAGCATCTCTGGTATGCTGTGGTAGCACTTGGGCTTTCACTTCTATCTGCTTTCAGTAGGAGCTTCTTACGTGCCTGCACTGTGTCTGTGCTCTGCTTCAAGGTGTGACATAAATACATATACACACCAAAGCCTCATGTAAATAGGAGGTAGGAGTCATTTATTGAGGAGGTATTGTGAAAAGCAAGAATAATTAAAAGCATTTCCAGTTCCCTTTACAGGTTGAATTAGGTGGGGAGTCACAGCACTAGAAGCCACTGGTGGCAGGGAGCATCTGCACTGCACAGTGCTGTGTTCAGCCCTGCAGCTGCTCTAAGGGCTCAGTAGAGCTCCTGAGCTTGGAGCAGCCAGCCTGCTGCCTCAAATGGGAGCCAGTTAGTCACCAAGTCCAAATTTTAGATGCTGGGCACATCATCTTAGTTACTGCCTGCTGCTGGCAGCAGTATGGGGTTTTGCCAGGTTCGTGTCTGAAACTGTTGAAGCCTTAGCAGCAAGGAACCACAGTCCTGAATTACATTGGTATTCATACCGCTGTTGCACAGTTCTGTGTCCTTGCCTGTGCATAAGCACTGCTTAGAAAGTCAGGCAAGGTCTCTGATGATGGCAAGCGAAGGAGGTGTATGCTGTTTAGTTCAGGTGAGCCGACAGTGCAATGTAACTCTGCCTTCTGGTGCCAATTCCTAGAAACTCAAACCCAAGAAGCTTCTAGCATTCTCCTGTTGCAGAAGGTAATAGACCCATTTTGGATGTGCAGTACAGCCTAAAACGTTCTTGGTTTAATTTGATGAAGAAGGTAGGTAGAAATCTTGTTTACACCTGAAGTGAGGTGCACAACCCCCTGTTGGTACAGCAAGGCAGTGCTGCTTCCTTCAGCAATACAATAGCCAGTTGTCCAGGAGGGCTGAAGCTCAGTGGCCTTGTGCTGGAGAGAGAGAAAACTCAGCAGGGCAACAAGCTGAAGGAAGAGTGGTCAGTCTGCTCTTTGCAGTGAAGTTCCATATTAAAGTTACTTCCATGTTAAACCCCGGCAAGATGTCTGTGAGGTACCATCGACTGCCCCCAGGCTGTTTTTGAGGAGCTGCACTGGTTTGGGCAGATTTTGGCTTTGACCTTTTGCTGGGTTTGTAACAAACACTACATGCTCCTAGCAGATCTGCTGTTTCTTCCTGCCTTGGTGTTTGGGGTTTATTTTACATTTTATGTACAAATACCTTCAACATTTTTTGTATCAAACATGAGCTGCAAACTGTGTGGAATTGTTGTTCCTCTCTGACATTTTTGGTGTGTGAATAGTTTTCCTCCACGTGTCTTAGATGAAGATACAGTGATGTGGCTGCCATAGAGAGAGTGACCAAATGATTCTGTAACTGTGCTGCTGTATTTCTACCTGTGATGTACTTGAAGGAGGATGCCCTTGTCCACCTCCACCCTCATTCTTTTTAATTTCTCTCTTTATTTCTCTTTTTATTTTTTGACCATTGCTGCTGGTGTCCTTTCATAGTGTCTTCTTTGGGTTTTTTTTTTTTAATAGCTGCCACCTTTTTCTTTCTTTCCTTGGACAAGTTGTCTTGCGTTGAGATCTGTACAACTGTGTAGGTTTTACATGTCCTGAAGAACGGAGGAGCTGCTGGAGGAAGATGTTTTGGACCAATGTACTTCTGCTTTGTGACTGTGAAATGTTAATCTTTTTGTAACCTAAGAACAAACAAATGTTTGGTAAAGGGATATATTTTGTGTTTTTTTGAAACTTTTCAGTGCAATGAACAAAAGAGGAGGAGGAAGAAGAAGTGTATGCGCAAAGTTTTAAATAAAATTTTAAATTATATATTATATATATTCATCTATATCTATCCCTGTGATTATTCTGCCTTTGTCCTGAAGAGTACCCATGCCTCTTTTTGTGTATTGCTAATTGTGCAATATGGACAAGTAGCCCGCTCTGCTTTACCGGGGAACGGATGATTCACTGACAAAAGGTCCCACTCTTAATTTAATGAAGTAAATCCCTATGAGGTGCATTAGCATACGGGCTGCCCTGGGAGATTTTGGCTGTAGGATGACTGAGGGAGCTGTGTGCTGCCGTCAGATTGTGATCCATTGCTCAGGCAATGTTGCTCAGCTGCCATGTTGTGACTCAGTGAAGAGCTATGCAAAGTGATCAGGTATGGGCTCTCCTGACATGAGGCACTGGGTGCAGTTTCTGAAATAACATAGTTGAAATAAGTTTTCCCTCATCCCCAGTTCCTTGGGAATCACTGTCTCAAATTCTGCTCTCGTTTATGGTAAAGCAAAAACCAAGGGTGAATTAATGGATTCCACTGAAGCAAGCTGCCATGCTTATATAGTATGAGATGAAGATGAAGGCACCGAAGATGCAGTGACTAACACCAGCCTCCTTGCATCGTACTGGCACAGAGCCACAGATGATGCTCATCCAGCTTGCCAGCAAGAACATGAGAATAGGGCATCTATCTACTGATTATATCTTTGAAATACTGCATTGTAGCACAGGCAGTTCTCCTGATTCCTATTTCACCTCACACTTAGTAGAAGAGCAGTGAAAACATTTCTCTAGTGTTACCCCAGTTCTTAAAGAAGTGCTGCATATGCCCATTGTATTCACTGAGCATAACTGAAAGCGCGGAGAAGCGATGTGTTGCTTTCACCCTGATTCTTCTCACTCTCCCATTAAGTCCAACAGTTTATTGCTGCAGCCCAGCCACTGGGTCAGGTTTAAAATCGTTGTGCAAATAAAACTTCAGCACAGCTTTGCCTGGCTGGCTGGGGTCAGCTGAAGAAGTGAGTGTTGGACTGTGTGCAGTGACAGGGAACTGTTGCATGGCAAGTGAACCTAAAAGAGCTTGCTTCATATCATTCTGTTGCTTCCACATCTCTTATGCCCTGAATTCTGTAAGCTTGTAGGTCAAGTAAGGCTTGTTATTTTCATTTTTTAGGTAATGGATACAACTCTTCAAATCTGGATGTCGGTTTCTATAATTCCTGTGGGCAATAAATCAGTGCTTGGCCAAATAATACATTCATGGTATTCTACTGAATGTACTCAGTTAACTAAAGCGACATCAGGGAACAATCCCAGTAATTTGTTATATTTTGTACAGTTTCTGTAAAATGGAGGCCTGAAGTTCCATCTTTTTAATGTATCCTGGTAGAGCAATGTACCCTCGCAAAAACTTCACTTCTTTATGCTATTGCAGTGCAGCTTTTATGGATTCCAGAGTTTCTCTCATGCTTTCCAGGAAGGCTTATATAAACCAAAGTTATTGCACATCCTGTTCTTGTTAGAAGGAAGGATGAAAGCTTCTTTTAAAATCCTCTGCTTTGCAAAACAAAGGATGCCATACCTTTATAGGGAGAAAAAAATTATTTCAGGAGAAATAGTGCTTTGAGGACGAGGTGAGCAAAAAGGAATATGATCGAGGTAGACAAAATGGGTCCACAGGTAGATAAAGAGTATGTGATTTGGAGATGCTTAATAATTTAAAAACAATCATAAATTTGAAGCTGCAGAAATCATCTCCAGCACTGCCACGGAATACTAAAGGGAGAGGGAGGAAGCTGCAGTAGCAAAACTAATTAGCTCTTTACTGCAGCTAATTTAAGACTGATTACTTAGATGCATGGACAGATGAGATCTCTGAACCTTCATGAATTTGAGGCCACCTAAGATTAGAATTACATTATTTTTCTTCGCTGTATTAGTGCATAATTTCTCAGGCTCTGGAGTCAAAATGTCCCTGATCTTTACCTCTGAGCATTTATTCTCAAGCAATAGAAGGCAATCCCTTACGGTGTTCTGTGAAAGCCAGCTGCAGTGGTTTGGCATTGTCCCTGAACTTTGTAGCCCTCCCTGGTTTTGCCAGTCTGCTCTGCGGTAAGCCGAGGCTGTTCCCCAACAGTGCATCTTTCCGGTTCATTTATGCTATGGGTGGTATTTTTCCTTCCTTCTCCTTACTGTGCTTCTCTTTGATTTAAAACGTTTGAAGTAAAGTGCTTATTGAGATGTGCCACTGAGCCCTTGGCCACCCACCTCCTCACACTTGCTTCCAGTGGGTGCTGCTATAGGCAGCGCCACCAGTGATGCAGGAATCGCTGGTAGCCAAAGGGAAGCCCTGTGGAAAGGGGAACGATTTCATTAACCCTACATCCATTGGGTCATTACCTCAAAGCAGAAACTTACATGTGTGTAAAATGTTAATTGTTCTATTTGAAAGGGGAAAGTTTAATGGGTTTGAATTGATTTTTGAGGGTTCTTGAGCCCTTGTTATCCCAGTTCTGTGGCCCAGTTATTCCCTGGGGAAACTACTTTTTCCTGACACATGAAGAGCTGGCTGAAAGATCCAAAGGTTTTCACACAAGCTCCAGTGCAGCATTTAGCTTCTGATGTGACAGGTTTTGCCTATTTCTGTAATGATGGCTACAACTTTGGGGGGACGAAGCAAAGAAACCTGAGAATTTGCTGTTTTTCCATTAGGAAGGTAAGGCTTAAGACTATGGAAATTCTGCAAGATGCCCCTGAGTAAAACTACAAGGAGAGGTGGTGTTTTCCCATGAGAGTGACTGTTGGAGACAAATGACTAGGCGCTCACCTCACTGAGTAGCACAGATTGTGCCTAAATGGAGACTGTTCCTCTGCCCAGTATACTATTCAGTATAGCTTAGGGTGTAAAAGCAACTGGTACACCTGCAGTCACCTAAACCTCAGGGAAATTTCAACTGGCTCTGCCCATCCAGATCCCTTAAATGTGTATTAGTTTCATTTCTAATCCCCTGTGGGCTGAGGCAGCCGTTTCCCAGCACAGTGCACTATCCCAGTGTACTGGGATGGGGAAGGGGGGACAAGAAGCAGCCAAATCCAGTTGCAGTTCTTCAGGATGTAGAAGCAAACAAGTCAATTATTCAAATAGGGAATTGCCAAAGAATGTACAAAGAGCTGGGAATCGCTACATCCACAAGTTTAGACCTTGATTCTGAAAGATCCGCTCGTCCCCACGTTGTGCCTGTTCACTTTCGTTCCCGGGTTGGTACCACAGCTAATTGCATGAAATCATCTGGGAGTGTAGGATATGTTAGAAGAGCTGCGACATCGTTCTTACCCATCCTCTGCCTAAGCACCGGAGCAGGGGCAGTTTAAATGAGCCAGACAAGAATCAAAGCACACCCTCCAAACTGAGTCACATGTGCAGACACACAAGCATTTTATGAATGGGAAAAATATTAAACACAATGCTCAGGCACTAAATCTTGCTGTGGTTACATTCTTCTAGGAATGGTGTTTTCGGGAAGGGCTGTTTAGCGCCAGAAAAAGGAAGGAGAGGAAAAGAACGCAATAAAGATTTACAGTTACATAAAGTTTCCCCGTTGTGCTTCTCTGCTACCGCTCCTGCAAGATTTCCCTGGTGCTGGCTTCACTAGGAAGGCAGGTACTTGGTCAACGAGGACATGAGGAACATGAACACCCAACTAACTTGGGGTCCTGAAGTTAGCCATGTGGCTCAGGCTGATTTCGAATAAGTAAACTAGTGTAGAGTATTAACATTGAATTTATAGCTATGTATGCATGTAGGAAAAAATGGCAAGAAACAGCAGCAGCTGACTGCTTGGAAGATGTGACCTGTCTGCGCCTGTTCCAGGAGCTGAAAGCAAGCAGCAGTCTCTGAATACACCTATTTCAGCTGTCAGTTACCCAGAGTACAGCTAAGCAGGTATTTGTGCTTTTGTTACCAAACCCTCCACCTTTAAGGAGGATTAGTGGGGAAGAAACAGCACGACACCCCAGTGCTTCATCCTCAGTGGAAACTAAATTGAGTTTTAAAAACTGAGCTGGGAATAGCTCTGTTTTGTTCATTCTTTGGAGGGATCAACAGCTACCCCTGGACCGAAAAGCTTCCCATAGCCACAGGTCCTGGGAATGAGCCAGCCTGTGGCCATCGGATGACTTGGGCCAGTGAAAGCCGCCTGCCCTCGGCCAGCAGCCGGCAACTGAGCCTCCTGGGGATGACTGGAGGGGACAGTTCCTGGGGATCTGCAAGCCTAAGCAGTGGCTAAAAATGGTGGGACACAAATGGCTGAGTAGAGGATGAAATCCTTCAGGATGTAGTTGGTTTTATTTGGATGAAAGCTGGTATTCGCACACTGCCCAAAACAAGAGGAGCAAGAACACCAACTCTTGTAAGCCTCTCAGCAGAGTTACTGCTCTTCCACTAAGGAAAATGCAAAATTAAGAGATCTTCTTTCCTTCTGCCCTAGAAGCAGGCAAAGAGAAAGGAAAGCGTGGCTTTGCTCGCAGTCAAGCACCTGCTTAAGGTTAGAGTCTGCTTCAGAAATGGAGCTTGACAGTGAGGTTTTGAGGTCTCCTCTTGGTCGTGCTGGGCTATAGCTGGCACTCGGCAATGGTGGTGGTTGTCTCAGCACACCTGGATTGTGTTGCTTTTCACCAAGTCTGTGCTGCTCCTAACAACAAACGCACTGAGGTGTCTGTTATTACTTTTATTTCTCAAATGCATAAGGCCACAGAGACGATGACTGCATCACAGCCTCCCCCAGCAACTCCCCATGGTCTCCCTTGTCCTCCCCCTGTACCAGAACACGCGGCGTGCAACGAGCCACTTGCTCCCAGGAAGGTGATTCATTTCTGAGCCATATTTGTAGGGGAAAAAAACCAAATGCTTTGAGGGTGTTGCTGTGCCTCTAGAGGTGTGACCTGCATCGGGGATGAAGCAGAAACCTCAACGGTGCAGACGGATCCCAGGGTAGCTTTCACAAGGCGCAGGGAAGCAGTGGGGGAAGGACGTGAGCAGAGCATGAGCAGCTCTGTTGCTTCATG